GTAGAAAGTGCAGATGAGACAATCGAAGATTCAATAGAAGAAACTGTCGAGGAGGTAACAGAAGTTGTTGTGCACCCACCTGTGTAATCACAGGCATTAATACCTGTGTCAACAACGTACTCATCAGTCAAAGTTGTTGAACATCTCAATGTACCTGTTGGCTCAGTCGATAAGGTCTCACAGGCAGCCAAGGCCTCACTGACATAAGGACCGTAGTATTTCCACAACGTCCAACCACAGTTCATACAAGAGGCGTAGTACTTGTTCAAAGAAGAATCACTACTACAGAGACAAGTAGTGTTGTATGGACCAGCGTACGAGTTAGTGGTGTTGAGTGTACACTCAGAACCACCCATAATCATCAATCCACATGAAGCATGACAGGCGATAGTAGCACAGTCATCTGCGGACGCAGCCAAAGCGTAGGCTTCAGGATCAGGATGGGCAATAGCAACAGCTTCAGCGTATGCCTCAGCATATGCTTCAGCAGCAGCACTGGCGTACGGGTTAGCATCAGCCCATGGGAGAGCATGAGCTCCAGCAATGGCTTCAGCATTGGCATGTGCCAGAGGCGACGCTGCTACAAAAGCAGTAAACAGCGCAATGATGAGGCTCAAGTGAGTGAATAGCTTCATCTATGCCAGATTGGTTGTTCTTGTTATTCATAAAATGAACCCAGAAATTGGAACATTGAGGATTAGTCACTATATATATAGTTGGCACTGGATTCATGGAAGACATATGTCTTTGAAAAGGTGCGCTAGGTAAGGCAATGTTGAGGCAGTCCACTTCTGGCACCCACAATCGAGGTTTCAGAACAATTGATGACCGGTAAATCTCAAGATCGAAAAAGGCCCTAAACTTCAGTCTCAAGCACACCTTGCAGGGAAAACACCCTTAAAGGTCCAAGGTGATAACGGAGAAAACAAACCGTTCGAAGGATCGACGCATAAAAGAAGGTGGGTTAGAGCCCAAAACATCGTTATATTGCAGCTGAAAGTTCTTCATACGCGTTTTGTAATGATAATTCACAAGTTGATGGTTTATGTTCCAAGATGCATACACCAGGGACATGGTTTTAAAAGTGCGTCAAGTCGCCTGAGTCCCAAGTCCCAAGTCCCGGATAAGGAATCATCCATCCATTTTTGTATATTTAGTACCGACTCGTAACCAGGACGTAGTGGATATTGCACCGTGTGAGCAGAGATGTTGTTGATGTCGGCTCATGGGTGCTGGTACGTCTTTTCTGTCACACTGAGCCGATTTGTACCAGCGTACATAAGCAATGTATATCAACAATTGCAGTGTGAACTATCAGGCAACAGAGGCTTTCCCAGTGTGCTCTGCCGTCAAATGAGAATTCACGGGCCGATACATATCTTCGGCACCATAGGGTTGGAAAGTCATAAGAGAATGGTCCTGTGTAACAGCTTTCAGCGTCAACTGTGGCCAAGGTGGAATTCGAACTCCACAGTAAGTCAATTGTACCTGTCGGCATTGGATCTTGAATGCAGCATAGAGTAAGATTACGCATTGTAAAGTTCAATTGGACCTGTGTGCAAGCGTCTTTCACAACTTTGGGTTAGAAAAGCGCCGAAAGGAGCATTCAAAACACCCATGGAATGATCTCTATAGGACGCTAGTTCAAGCTGCGTACAGCCTTACTCCTGAATCCCGAAGGCTAAGTCCTCACAACAGGTCAACATGTTCATGTACTTACGCGTGGTGTCCATATGGCCGTACTTGTTGTTTTCATCAATGAGCAGCAACTGCACCAGTGGCACCTCGTGCCATTGGCTGGATTGTTTTCATAATTGACACCTCTTTTTATGCAGTTCATCGTGTATTACGAAACGATGCTGCCTCAGTGGTTAGAAGTTATACGTACCGAGATTTCTGAGACAATGTGGCATTCGTACCAGCTGATTCCTCGAGTCTTTTGCTGCTCGACTCTCAAGACTGAAATCTCAAGACTGGAATCTCTCAAAGAATCGCTGTTCAGCGCTTTCCCAGCCCGTATACTTTGGAGCAGGATGACTATTGCTCTCCTCCACCAGCCACGGTAAGCATTGACGCACAATGCACGCCGTAAGCTTGGAGACTGCGGAAAGGTGAATTGTGTCCTGACCACCTGTGTAACCTCTGAAGACTGCATGATGTTAGCATATATCTTGAGTGTTTTAGTCGATGTGGGTTCCTTCACCAATAGTTAATGGACTTGTCCATTTGAAATGTCTAAGCGTAACAATTGTAGTCAATGAATTGGTGGACATGGCCCTCGCTGTGTTTGATAGCCAACTGATTCGTGTGCCATTCACAAAAGAAACAGTGCTGATGTTCTCTGCAGGGAAAGGCTATAATATTCTGTTGTTTATCATTGACTACATAAGAAGCTAATAACACACGAAACCCTGTGTTCGTCAAGGCAACCTGTGAATTCCAGATTGCCGTGGGTATACATAAGCTAAGAACTAGTGGAGAGTGGTGAAATTTACCTCCAAAATCAGAGATAAATGATGGCCACGTATCAATATGGAAACAAGGACATAAACGAGAAAGAGCCAATTGGTAACAGATCAGTCGAATTCAACGAATCTTTTGCGATTTCTTGAAAGCATAGCACAGAGGCTAATCGAGCTAGAAAGTCACAAGTGCTAGAAGCAAAACAGTGAATAAAGAATTAGAAATTCGTTCTGCAACACCTTCAAAAGTAGAAACTGAAACAGTGGTGATATCTCTAGTTTTTGATAACTCAGGCCCCTGTTCCTCAACAATCGAACTTTTAGCTGGAGCAGTGCCAGTAAGAGCTGGAGATCCCCCAGATTCATTCATGGAGAGAGTAACTTGTGGTTTTGGTGTACAAGTTGGAGCTGCTGGTTTCTTTGTAACGATTGAAGTTACTGCCGTAGTCTGAGTAACAATATCAGTAGCAGTTTCGATCATCTTGGATGTTTTATGCACACCATTTGGTTCAGTATTGATAATAGTATGGTCAGCAGTACCCTGTGAATACATCTCAATTGCTGTACTGTGTTGAACTGTGGGAGTTTCATAGCTTACTTTGGAACCAGCTGATTCATGGTGTTCATCAAAGGATGCATCGTCTCCTCTCGTAACTTCCAGAGTTTCCTGATTGTGAATATTCGTCATATATTCTGTTTCCGTAACTGCAATAGTTCCAGTTGGACCTTCAGTTGCTATTGGGAAGTAAGTGGTGTATGAAGTTGTCATAGCACTGGTAGTAGTGGTGACAACAGACCAGCCGGCAGTTACTGGAGCCTCAGTGCAAACATTATCTTCACAAGACTCTACAATAATAATAGTGGTACTCACATGTCTCTCGATCTCAGTCTCAGTAGTTAGTGGACAATATGTTGTGTAGAGCTTGACAGTGCCATTTTCCTCAGCCGTAACAACCGTAACACCAGTAATAACCTCTCTAGTAACACAAGAATCTTCAAGACAAGAAGTCACAGTAACAACCGTGGAAGAGACGTTCTCAATTGTACTTATAGAGGTTGTAGTGACATTGGCATATGGGGCAATCATTGAGGAGGTAAATAGAGATGAAGCAATTTGGCTTTCAGAAGTGAGGAAATCAGATGAAGAAGTCACAGAGTCGGTTGGGTATACATCTGATGAGAAAATATCAGATGATGATATATCTGAGGATGGAAAAGAAGAGCTATTCTCCAGGTCTGTTATTGTATAAGCCAAGTCCCAAGTTTGTTGTGCTCTTTTCACAAGCCTCTGTCCCTCGTCTGTGGTGATAACAATATGAACAAACGAAGTCCACGCATTACCATCAACAGGACCACCATTCACTTTGAGAGAAAGAACGCTGTCCAGAGGAATTGCGTCTGATAATTTGCTATAAACAGATTCTGAGGTACTGGTGAAATCAGCTGGGATTGTAGAATCTTTATCAATGAAGGCCTTACTTGTAGTGTATGAAAAGCCATTGTTGTTTACCTTGTCCTTTGAGAATGTAATTTCGACAGATTCCCAAGGTCCGAGAGAACCTGGAATTTCTAACGTCCATGAGATAGCACCATCTTCATACGAGCCAGTAAGTAATGGGGCATTGGTTGAGATAGAGCTGGAAGAGCTGGTAGAGATTTCAGTAGATGAACTTGACATTTCAGTTTCAGTAGAATCCGAGGATTCAGAAGATGACATGGTGAAAGTTTGATCCATTGAAGACAAAGAGGTGGAGTAAGTTGAAGCTAATGATTCCATGGATGAAGGTTCCACGGATGAGGATTCCATTGATGAAGGTTCCATTGATGAAGGTTCCACGGAAGAAGATTCCATTGATGAGGATTCCCTGGAAGATGATTCCATTGACGAAGATTCTATGGAAGACGATTCTCTCGAAGACAATTCCACTGATGAAGACTCCACTGATGAAGACTCCACTGATGAAGACTCCACTGATGAAGACTCCACTGATGAAGATCCCACTGATGAAGATCCCACTGATTCAGAAACACTTGAAGCTTCAACAGAATGTGATGACCCGCTCAAATCAGAGGATGAAGAAGTAGGTTTCTTCGGCCTGAACTCCACCAAAGTATTCACTGATTGCTGATGTACACATTGACTCTCGTACATATAACCACCAGCAATTGCAAGACACTTGTCATATTTGAAACCATCAGGGAAGATGATAACAGTCAAAGTAAGTCTTGTGGTAGAACAAGAATACGACAAGATATATTTCTTTCCAGCCTTTTCAACCATAACCACACCAGTGCTAGCACCTATGGTGTTTTTTGAAGCAGTAGCAACAACATAAGCACCCTGTTTCAAATTTACGTAGAAATCAGATGGCTCTAAGAATTGGGCTACTGAGCCATATTGTTCCTTAGCATCCGTGAAGAACTGAATATCTGTAACGTCATCATAATCTTCCGTGAAGTTGACGAAAAGGTAAAGCTTGTATGTTGTTTTCCCAGTTGACGGATCATCGATTTGTTCATACCAAGATGTAGAGACCAGCGATAGTCCATCGTCTGAGACAGTTTTAACAGTGGTAAAGCAGTCAGTTGATGAGCCACCGGCTTGGTAGCTGTAAGAGTAGGATAAATCTGTCTCCACAGTATGAGTTGTAACTGTGTACTTCTCCTGCTGAACATCTTCAGTTGATGTAGTAACTGGTGATGATTGTGATGTTTCAGACGAGACACTTGAGCTCACGCTAGTGCTAACCACAGCAGGAGCAGACGTTTCGCTTGTTGTTGTCTCAGTTGGACAATTCCCCGTATATTCACACGCTTGCAAGCCAGTATCAATGGAATAGACATCAGTCAATGTTGTAGAGCATCTCAAAGTACCTGTTGGTTCAGTAGAGAGTGTACCGCACGCAGCCAGAGCTGAAGACACATACCCTCCATAATATTTCCACAAGGTCCACCCACAGTTCATACATGGTGCATAATATTTCATGAAGCTTGTGTCAGAAGGGCAGAGACATGTAGTGTTATATGGACCTGAGTAGGAGTTTTCGTCATTTGTAGAACATTTTTGACCTTCGATGATCAGCAACCCGCAGGAGGCATGGCATCCAATGCTGGCACAATCATCAGCAGAAGCAGCAAGGGCATAGGCCTCGGGGTCAGGGTGAGCAATAGCAATGGCCTCAGAATAGGCATTTGAGTAAGCAATAGCAGCTGCCTCGGCAAATGAGTTTGCCCTAGACCATGGAAGGGAATCAGCAATTGCATCAGCAGCAGCAGCAGCATCAGCATTGGGACCAGCCACTGCAGACACAACTGCAAAGGCAGTGAACAGGAGAGAGATTACACTCAAACGAATGGCAGTCTTCATTGAAAGTTGTTTTGCAAGAGAATTGAAAGCTATTCGAAGCAAATACAAGCTACAGTCAGAACAAGTTAAACGGTGATATATATACTTGTCGATACACCAGTGCACAGGCAACTACGATCAGTCATATTAGCCGTTGTGCTGAGTATTCTGAGTGTTCTCAGCTATGACTATTGTTCATGATACATCGACGGTGTATGCTATGCTTCAACCATCGCAATAGACCTTGCCTGTGGGATACGAGAGCTTCAACAGAAACGCAGCAGCATGCCTGAAGGGATCTTATGCATGATCTTCAGCGTCTTTTAAGGGTGTGCAATAAGCGTCAAAAAACGATAAGTGCGATAGGAACGGCTCAAACATCGACATGATATTATGAAATGGTGACACGGTCTAGTTGGACTAGTCCGTATTGTCATAGAGAGCTCAGCTCATGAACCGATAATATCACCAATTATTGACACCAAGGGTTGCAGCACAGAGCATACAAGAATGACTCCATAGTCTTGGAATTCTTATTGATTGTCCTCATTGTAGCATCTTGGAAATGTCTTGTGATTTCATCTTTGACTTGCTTCCAGTTGAGAACAATTGCACCGTCTACCACCCTGTGGGGACTATTTGGGTGTCCGAAAACTCCCAAATTCCCATGAGGGTGTCATTCCAAGCCCTGATTTGTTCTGTCAACTATTCAATTAGGGTCGCTTACGTGGGCCAGAAGCTCCACAACACAATGCAGTGCATGCGAGATCGCTGTGTGTTTTGAAGGTCTTGCATGCGTGTCTGCGTTGCATAAAAGGACTATATGCATTTCAAAGGTGGAAAAGTCTATTCCGTATGTGGTATATACCATGTAAGCTGTAGCATGCTCTGTCGTGTTGACCAACACGGTTGGAAGTTGAGGTTTTCGCCCTACCGTCAGCCATTGGGGGTTCACGGCTGCTCCAGCGACCTGTTCTAGTCTCTGGGTTATAAGCTGTGGGTTTTTGGAGGCGTGGGTCCCGACTTTGAAGTCATCGTGACTTATACAAAGTCTTGGGCCCAGAACCACACGTCTCACAACACAGAGTGTATCAAACGTTACACGTACACGCTCAGCGATCAGTGTATATGACATGAATTGGTCTTCAACATGAATTGGTCTTCAACATGAATTGGTCTCCAGCATGATTTGGTCTTCAACATGTTGTGCTCTTCGGGGTTCAGCTTATAACCTTGTAGTTGTATCGACGTCACAATGTATATTTACCACCTATAGCCTGTGTGGGTTTTCCTTTGCCGAGGGTGCGCTATTGGAACATGTAGATAATGACAATAAGATAACTCTTGAAACAGTATGATATAACAGGTGTAGGAGAAGAAGGTTGGTTCACAGAACCTTGAAAAGGAGGAAATACACTGGTTCAAAGGCTTTCCTTTAAACCATTGTATAACATCCAAATCTTGATATGCCGTGATGCAAGTAGTTCTAATAATTATAATGAGAATATAACAACACTGTGACAAGAATGTGACCATCACAAACGTTACATAGAACTATCATTCACCAAATCGATGAGGAATTCGGAATTCAATCCGAAGGTCGAATATCACAATGCGGAATCAGAGCTTTTCACCAACTGTAGAGCTATTTCTCATTTGCAGAGCATTTCCCGAACAAGATTCGCTAGCTCTTTTCAGCCCATAACAACAGGTTTAGCCGAAAACCCTCAGAGTGGTGTGAAACCAGGGCACACAACCTGCTAACGAGCACAGCCAAGTTCGCAGTTATCCCGGCTCGCAGCCGTGTGCCACTTCATTGTACACCAAGTGTAGCTTCTGAGACATTAGGGTAGTAGAAAAGGCATTGGTGTAGAACAATAGCAATCAGCGCAGTTGGAAAAGAGGAGAGTACCACTGAATTCCTTGGATGACTGACACGTCGATGACGTGTAGGCTCCAACTCAGCAACTCATTAGCGAAGAGGTAGAGGCGCTATTCTGGAAACTCAATCAATTGACCAATCAAACCCAATTGAAAATGGCACAGCACAGTCAAGCTGAGTATATTGGCCATAACTCCCCATCTGAACAGTCCAAAGGCGCTGGCTTTCGATCCCAGAGGCAAAGCATATAAAACCCTCCGAGACCAACATGGACGATCCGATTATCCCACACCCCCAGACACAACACAACACATGCGCGGCATATCCGCAGCCACTGTCTGCTCCCTTCGTGTATTGACAATCAGAATGGGAGTAAAGAGCTGCTGTGTGATCAATCGCTTAGAAGATGGTCCAACCAAGCAACACAATCACCATTAGCAATCACTTGTTCATCAGATCCTTCGTTGCAAATACCCTGGGCGTGAAATGATGTGTCACCCCAATCATGTGACATTTCCCCTTAGATGACATGCGTTGTGCATCCGATCGCATGGATCAGTGGTTTCTCCGGGCAAAATGGTACCAAAGGGATCCCCTAACTCTCCAAAGTTAGCCAAAGTTGGAAGGTCATATGTTGCTCTGCTGTATCATTTGTCTTTATACGGGAATCACGGTACAACACACAGTGTGTACGGCATAGCAATGTAGAACCGGATACGTAGACCTACAACGCACCAAACATCGCACCATCGAAACAATAACCCGTGCAAAGTAAACCTGGGACTTGGTTAGTTAGCTATGGAAGGAATTGGATGCTGAGGGAAGCAATTGGATAAACAAACAACCAGTTGAGCGGATTGTAGCAGTTGGACCAATTCGTTCCATCAATTTCCATCAATTTCCATCGCCTTCGCTCGTTCCCGTTCGCCTTCCCCATAAAAAATTTCTCGAATGTTCCACAGAGCAAACACAAAAATCAACAGCGACACAAAAAAAGAAAGGGCACGATTGCCTGTGAGATGGAACCTTCTGGATAAAAAAACTGGGCGGCTAATGACATATAAAAAGGGGTGAAGGTAGCCAACTTTTGAGCTCCTCCTCGTCTATTTCCCCCTTTCTATCACACAACTACTACTACTTATTATTACAACATAATAACAGAAAACATGTCTAAGGCTGTCGGAATTGACTTAGGTACGACATACTCATGTGTCGCACATTTCACAAACGATCGTGTTGAGATCATTGCAAACGATCAAGGTAACAGAACCACACCTTCCTATGTCGCCTTTACAGACACGGAGAGATTGATTGGTGATGCTGCTAAGAACCAGGCTGCAATGAACCCAAAGAACACCGTGTTTGATGCTAAGCGTTTGATTGGTCGTAAGTTTGACGACCCAGAAGTTACAGAGGATGCTAAGCACTACCCTTTCAAGATTGTCGAACAGGGCGGTAAGCCAAAGATTGAGGTTGAATTCAAGGGTGAGACCAAGGTGTTCACCCCTGAGGAGATCTCTTCAATGGTTTTGACAAAGATGAAGGAAACAGCTGAGAACTTTTTGGGTAGCGCCGTGAAGGATGCCGTCATCACGGTGCCGGCCTACTTTAACGATTCTCAAAGACAAGCTACCAAAGATGCCGGTTTGATTGCTGGTTTGAACGTTCTTCGTATCATTAACGAACCAACTGCAGCAGCAATTGCATACGGTTTGGATAAGAAGGGTCAAAGTGAACACAACGTCCTTATCTTCGATTTGGGTGGTGGTACTTTCGATGTCTCATTGCTTTCTATTGATGACGGTATCTTTGAAGTTAAGGCAACCGCCGGTGATACCCACTTGGGTGGTGAAGATTTCGATAACAAGCTTGTTGACTTCTTGGCCACTGAGTTCAAGAGAAAGAACAAAAAGGATATCACCTCAAACCAAAGATCTTTGAGAAGATTGAGAACCGCTGCAGAGAGAGCCAAGAGAACCTTGTCATCTTCTGCACAAGCTTCAATCGAGATTGACTCATTGTTCGAGGGTATCGATTTCTACACTTCTATTACTAGAGCCAGATTCGAAGAGTTATGTTCCGAACAATTCAGATCAACTTTGGAGCCAGTGGAGAAGGTTTTGAAGGATGCCAAGTTGGACAAATCTCAGGTTGACGAGATTGTCCTTGTTGGTGGTTCTACCAGAATTCCAAAGATTCAAAAATTGGTTTCTGATTTCTTCAACGGTAAGGAGCCAAACAAGTCCATCAACCCTGATGAGGCTGTTGCTTACGGTGCTGCTGTCCAAGCTGCTATCATCACTGGTGATACCTCCAACACAAAGACCCAGGACTTGTTGCTTTTGGATGTCGCTCCATTATCCCTTGGTATTGAGACCGCTGGTGGTATCATGACCAAGTTGATTCCAAGAAACTCCACCATCCCAACAAAGAAGTCAGAGACTTTCTCTACCTATGCTGATAACCAACCAGGTGTGTTGATTCAAGTGTTTGAAGGTGAGAGAACCAGAACCAAGGATAACAACTTGTTGGGTAAGTTTGAGCTTTCTGGTATTCCACCTGCACCAAGAGGTGTTCCACAGATCGAGGTTACCTTTGACATTGATGCCAATGGTATCTTGAACGTATCTGCTGTGGAGAAGGGTACTGGTAAGTCCAACAAGATCACAATCACCAACGACAAGGGTAGATTGTCCAAGGAAGATATCGAGAGAATGGTTTCCGAAGCTGAGAAGTTCAAAGCTGAGGATGAAAAGGAAGCTGAGCGTGTTGCATCAAAGAACGGATTGGAGGCTTACGCTTACAGTTTGAAGAACACCATTGGCGAATCTGGTTTCAAGGAGAAGGTTCCAGCTGAAGACCTCGAGAAATTGACCAAGGAAATTGACAGCACCATTACTTGGTTGGACGAGTCGCAAGCTGCTTCCACTGAAGAATACAAGGATAGACAAAAGGAGTTGGAAGGTGTTGCTAACCCAATCATGAAGACATTCTACGAAGCTGGTGGTGCTCCAGGCGCCGGTGCCGGTGCTGCTCCAGGTGGGTTCCCAGGTGCCGCTGGTGGTGCTGCCCCAGGTGGTGATTCTGGTCCAACCGTTGAGGAAGTTGATTAAAACAATCGTCCCTTCTTATAACTGGTTTTTCTCACATTTTATTTCTCTACGGTTTACATAGTGTTTTCATTTTCTAATTGGTTTTATTCTCTTTCATATACTTTTGGTTTTTAAAAGAAAAATTTCTCATTTTTCGGTACATTGAAATCTACTGTAGTTTTGTAGTTTGATGGATCTCTGACCGTTGGAACCGTTATCCTCGACTGAGACGGAGCAACCCAATGTCCAAGTCCAAGTACTCGACCAGACCGGCAAAGAAGCTCATCAGCGCCACTGCTCAGTGTTCAGAGAGTGTGAGTGTGTCATCAGCGTGATGCCATGTTTGAGCTCCTTCAACTAACAAGTTCCACAGGGCACTGTTTACGGAGAGTGCATCCTACTCCACTACCAGAATCTAAAGAAGGGGATATGCGAAAAGGAGTTCCAAGCATTCAAGCAGTGTGTTATGAAGCACGTGAAATGACGGACGTTCTATTTATTTATTTAACGAAGAAAAGATGATTTGACTATGTACAGTTGTGCAAACACGTATCCCTTCAAAGGTTAGAACCTATAGGCGCGCAGTCTCTTACTTCTTTGCTCTTCAACCTTTTTCGCAATCCACCATCCGTAGAGGACACCAGCTAAGGAGCCTCCAAGGTGTGCTGCGTAGTCAAACGACCCCCATCTCATGGCACAGCCAGCAGCGTTCCAGATACACGAGCCCAAGAAGGCGACCCATGCGCCACCAGGGATCGGGAATACAAACACCATGATCTTTGCCGTTGGAACCAGGTAGGCAAACGTTGCAAAGACACCAAACAGCGAGCCCGACGCGCCGAGACTGGCAGCGGTGATAGGGATCTTGAAGATGATAGGGTAAGCGATGCTTGCTAGGGAGGCCACGACACCAGAGTTGAGGTATAGCTGAGTGAACGTTGAGGCGCCCACCATGTTGGCCAGCGAGGTGCCGAACGAGTACAGGGCCAACATGTTGATTGCGAAATGCCAGAACTCCTGGTGGGAGAACGTTGAGCCCACGATGGACCACTTGGAGTAGAGGACATCCTTCTCCAGCAGGGCGTAACGGCTAAGTACTCTCCAGTACTTTGGCACTTGCCACAGCCCAAACACGGCCAGGTTTAGGCCTATTAGTCCGTACACAAGGTGGCTTGGGTGTTTGTTGAAGTATGCCAGTGGGGTATATTGGAAAATGTACGGTGTTGCCACGGTAGTCCCAACAATGAACAGCCCAGAGAATATTAACGCCTGTTTTAGAGTGTTGTAATTGCGGTTATAGTTGTAGTTTGAGATCCTGATGAATTGCAGCTGGCCAGAGGAGTGGAATTGTTTCAATTGAAGCTGTTGAGGCTTCAGCTGAGCAACGTGTGATCTATTTAGCCATGGGAAGATGGATGACTTGATCGTGTTCGTGTTGATTAGCTTTGCTTTCCAATTCGACAGGCTCGAAGTGCTCTTCTTCAATGGGAAAGTCGCCCTGTTCGCAAGGAAGAAATGTTTACCACATGTCCGTGTGAAGTTCATGGTCTGTGAGTTTGTCCCCTTTTCCCCTCCTGCCTAGGCTTGTCCAGGATGGATGGTCTGTGATTATCTTGGAGGTTTGTAAATTGCCACAAAAATGTCCCATGAGCATTTTGGGACGGATCAAATAATCACAGTGCAAGAAAGAGGAGCGTTTTGTGGTTTGGGCAACAGAGGTTCTCGATGCTTGTCCGCTCTCTCCAAGTTTGTCCCCGATCGTTTAAATACGTGTGCGTCGTATAAAGAAAGCAAGTTGGAAATTTTTGTCCGTTTAGCCTTGAAGAACCATCAACACAGAGACTTAAAGGGACAAGATGTCATTGTTAAACCCAAGGACAAAGGACTTGGAGTTCTCAGGGATCCCAGGTGTCCTCGCCATATCGCTCGGTCTTCCAACGCTTTGCGTCGTCTTGCACCAATTGTGTAATGATCATTATCATCAACGAGGGCTGACCATTGATCTGGACGAGTTGACGAACTTCCATGGCTTGTCCTTTAGTGAAATTGCATTCAATGGACAAGTATGGACGTACTACCTCCTGTGGTTCTTTGGCTTGGTGCTGTTTGACACGATAATCCCCGGCACTGTGAAGAAAGGTGTCACGTTACGTGATGGAACTTCTTTGTCGTACAATATCAACGGTATCCAGTTGAGTTGTCTCTTTGTATTGGCTCTGGCCACAAGATGGCAGCTGACCCACGGCTCCATGCCAGAGCTCGTGTTTCTGTACGATAATACTCTACAGTTCACCGTTGTTGCCGTTATCTTCAGTGCGCTTCTGGCCCTGTTTGTGCAAATAACCAGCTATCTACCACTAAGCGGGTCCAATGGGAAAGGGACCAAGGAGAGAATCCTGGCAGTTGGTGGTAACTCTGGTAATTGGTTGTATGATTGGTTCATTGGACGTGAACTGAACCCAAGAATTGGGCCTTGGGACATAAAGCTCTTCTGTGAATTGAGACCAGGAATGTTACTATGGTTATTGTTAAATCTGGCCTCCATGCATCATCAGTACTTGAAGTATGGACAAGTTTACGATTCTATGCTCTTGGTTAACCTATTACAGGCCTTTTACATATTTGACGGTGTGTTGAACGAAGAGGGATGCTTAACTATGATGGATATCACCACTGATGGCTTTGGCTTCATGCTTTCGTTTGGTGATCTTGCGCTTGTACCATTCACCTACTCCCTACAGGCAAGATACCTTGCACGCGAGCCTTTAACCTTGGGGGCTCATTATATCGGGTTCATTCTCGGCGTGGCATTTGTTGGATTTTACATCTTCAAGGCATCAAATAACCAAAAGAATCAATTCCGTCAGGGGAAACTGCCACATTTGAAGTCCATTCAAACTGAAAGATCAACAAAATTGCTATGCGATGGCTGGTGGTCGTTAAGTCAGCACATCAACTACTTTGGCGACTGGTTACACGCAACTTCATGGTGCTTACCAACGGGGTTCATCACCCCTCTAACATACTACTACATATGCTATTTTGCAGGGTTGTTGCTACACAGACAGCACAGAGATGAGCTGAAGTGCAAAGAAAAGTATGGCAAAGCATGGGAAGAGTACGAGAAGAAGGTTCCGTACAAGATCATTCCATACGTTTATTAAAGATAGACAGGAGAGCAAACCTCCCACCATGAATTGTTTAAATCAGATCAATCAATGATAACACAGCCCCATCTCCTTCCACAGAAAACACCCGTAGCATCTCTATTTCGTCTTTTTACTATCAACCTTCTTCTCAAATGACCCGTAACTGATGTCTAGGGAGAGCATCCATGAAATCGCAGTGACGAGGATCGCAATGAGTAGCAGCGACACTATCAGCCCTGACAGTATTCCAGGCGTGAAGTAGTGTGGAGATACGATCTCTGACGGGATCTCCGAGGGGATTTCTGATGACAGCGACTCCATTCTTGCTGAGTATTTACAACGTTGATGTTGACGTTGTGTGGGAAGAAGCAGCAGCAGCACCGGTTTTCTCGTTTCGCTATCAGCGACAACCACCACCACGAAAGGTTACCCTGTCTGCTGACATAATAAAATATCCATAAATCCCCAATAAGGAAAGTATCCTGAAGAGGACATAGCCGATACTAAAGCCGAGTTTACACAAATTCCCCCCTCCTCCCCAAAGCGTTTTGTTTAAACCGGCGAAACGTTTTCTGAAATCGCCGCCAGCCCCCTCCTCCCTCGCCCCTTTTTTTGGTTTTTTGTCCCGTCTGTAGTTTGCCCTCGTCCAATTCCGTTTCTGTCAAAGGACTTAGCCAGGATCCCTGCCTAGAGATTTTTGTGTTTACCTGTCCATTTCTGTCCAAAATTTTCTCCGGTGGCCACCTCCCCAGGAAAAACGTAGAAAGACAGAGACACAGAGACAGGCCGCTCTGCCTAAACCCGAACAGCGAAAGCCGAACAGAGGAAGCGCTTCCTCCGCCTGGGGGCCCACCGCGTGGCGATTCCCTCTGGGCTCTCCCTGCCTAGCGCGATTACCACCGGCCACGGGGAGGGACTGTGATCTTCTGCCCCGGGTGTCTGGACAGGGAAAAATTTCTTTCACTTGAGCTAATACTCTGATGAAGCAGTATCAACAGGCGAATCTGGAGCAAGTCAGCAGACGAGACGACGAGAGAAGAGACGAGGCGGGAAGGATGAACAGGGAACACATCTCAAACTTGTCCTCTGCGCTCAGACAGGTCAGCATTTCACAGGATCCACAGCAGGCACAACAGCAGTCCACGGCTAATTCCAATGCTCAACTCCAGCATCTCGAGAGCAGCTTTGGCAACCAATCACAGCAGACACAGTCACGTATCACGCATTTCTTCAAGAACCAGCCGGAGGAGGGGTTCACACTGTTCTCGCATCGTTCTGCTCCAAACGGGTTCAAAGTGGCGATAGTGCTTAGTGAATTAGGGCTAGAGTATAATACCATCTTTTTGGACTTCAACGCTGGGGAACAGAGGGCACCAGAGTTCGTCTCGATAAATCCAAACGCAAGGGTCCCAGCACTTATAGACCACTCGAATGACAACCTCTCTATTTGGGAATCAGGCGCTATAATCTTGTACCTGGTGCAAAGGTTCTCGCGTGATTTTGGAGAGTGTCCTCTATGGCCTGCAAACCATCTCTGAACAATCACAGATCATGTCCTGGGTCTTCTTCCAGACGTCGGGACATGCCCCAATGATCGGACAGGCTCTACACTTTAGATATTTCCATACACAACAGGTGCCCTCCGCGGTGCAGCGTTATACTGATGAGGTTAGACGTGTTTATGGGGTTGTTGAGATGGCCCTTGCCGAGAGACGTGAGGCCTTAATCATGGAGCTGGACACTGAAAATGCCGCTGCCTACAGCGCAGGTACGACTCCACTATCACAGTCGAAGTTCTTTGACTACCCTGTTTGGCTTGTTGGAGAACGCATCTCCATTGCAGACCTGGCATTTGTTCCTTGGAACAACGTTGTGGACCGCATAGGAATCGACATCAAACAAGAATTCCCAGAGGTTTACAAGTGGACAAAAAATATGATGAGAAGACCTGCTGTCGTAAGGGCTCTAAGAGGCGAACAATGAGTATAGGAGGATGTGTAATTAGTTAATTGACATCAAAGTTATGTACGGGATGTACTAGACGGAAGAGGAGGGGGTGGTGGTGGTGGTGGTGGCTGCCTACTCTTTGAGTAAACCCTCCTTAACTATGTAGTTACCGTTCTGGCTCTCTGTTGGCAATGACATTGGGTCCCAAGATTGCAGCGTTTCTCCCTTTGAAGGGTCCTGCTGTTGTGATTCTATAGAGGATTTCAACCCTTCAAGTGTTAATCTCTCGTAAAGATTCGCATTGATACTGTCCTCAACTTCAACGTCTACGGCATGCAGTCTGTCTATAAATCTCACTTGCTCCTTCAACGACTCGATTAGCTTCGGGTATTGGTCCTTCGGGTAGGACAGTCCGCTCAGCTTCAACAACTTATCAATGGTTTCATCGTTGATACAGTCACAACGAGGTGAATGCACCTGCTTAAAGAGCTCGTCAACCTGCCAATTAACCGTTGTTATGTATTCTTTGATCATCGACTTTGGCAATGGCTTACCAACAAGGGTCTTTAGAAACGACATAACAGCAGAAACGGTCCGATAAGAGCTGTGAATAAGACCTCCAATGTTGATGAAGAAGTAAAGTAACAGCTCTTTAAAACATATCCATCCCGAATATTATGTAATCAAATAATCACGTGCAAAAGCCAGAAACAACACGTGATCATCGCGAACTCGTTTTATGTCTGGAGCCTCAAGGAAAATTTTTCTTTTTAGCTCTCAAGCTCATCTCATCTCATCTCATCTCATCTCATTCAGAATACACTTGAAAGAGGAACAACTGACACGATGAGAATCAAGAAGAAGGGAGTTTCTGGTAATGCTAAGAACTTCATCACGAGAACGCAAGCCGTGAAGAAATTGCAATTGTCGCTGGCTGATTTCAGAAGACTGTGTATCTTCAAGGGGATCTATCCAAGAGAGCCTCGTAACAAGAAGAAAGCCAACAAGGGTTCCACTGCACCAACAACTTTCTACTACTACAAGGACATTCAATACCTGTTGCACGAGCCTGTGCTACAAAAGTTTAGAGAGCATAAGACCTTCTCCAAGAAGCTGAACAAGGCCCTCGGTAGGGGAGAGGTTGGTGATGCAAAGAAGCTGGAGGAGAATAGACCTCGTTATAAGCTGGACCACGTCATCAAGGAACGTTATCCAACGTTTTTGGATGCTTTGAGGGACATTGATGATGCTCTCAATATGCTCTTCTTATTCGCTATAATGCCTGCAACAGATAGAGTCAGTGCTCGTGTCACAGAGGATGCCAATGCAATCTGTAATCAATGGCTTGCGTACGTTTCACGTGAAAGGGCTCTGCGTAAAGTCTTCGTCTCCATTAAGGGTATCTACTACGAGGCTAACGTCAAGGGTGTCGAAGTGAGATGGTTGGTTCCCTTCAAGTATCCTCAAAACATTCCAAGTGATATCGATTTCAAGATCATGCTGACGTTCTTAGAATTCTATTCAACATTGTTGCATTTTGTCCTGTTCAAGTTGTACACCGATGCTGGATTGGTGTATCCACCAAGACTGGACCAGAAGAAGTTGAAAGGTGTTGGTGGGTTGAGTGCCTACATCTTGGAATCCGAGGAGGCTAATGCTTTACAATTAGCCAATGAAGATGATGGACAGGATGGTGTTCAACTCGATCAAAAGTTCTTGAAGGCTGCTTTGAAAGCTGATGAAGAAGAAGCCAAAGAGGAGGAACAGGCAGAGGAAGAAGAAGATGCTGAAAATGGCGAGGAAGAAGAAGACGTGGACCAGATCACCCTTGATGAGTTCCTCGACAACAACAAGAACACAGGTGATTTGTTACAACAACCTTCTAAGTTTGACAACCCAGTATCACATCTGTTTGAAAAATTTATCTTCTTTGTTGGCCGTGAAGTTCCATTGGACGTTATCGAGTTCTTAGTCTTGTCCTGTGGTGGTAAAGTCATCTCTGAGGTTGCCATCGATGAGCTTAGAATGAACAACGAGGACGTTTCTGCCTTGCCATTGGATAAGATCACTCATCAAATCGTGGATAGACCAAAGGTCAACGGTAAAGTTCAAGGAAGAACCTATGTTCAACCACAATGGATCTTTGACTGCGTCAACAAACAGGAGTTACTGGCTGTTAACGATTATCTCCCAGGAGAGACTTTACCTCCACATCTCTCACCATGGGGTGATGCTGCAGGTTATAACCCAGAGGAGAAGCTGATCGATGTTGAGGATGAGGAGTCTTCAGGAGAAGAAGAAGTGATTGATGTCGATGAGGCTGAATCAGATGAAGAGGAGGCCGAAGACGATGAGGAAGATGAAGACGAAGATCTCAAGGCACAGAAGGAATTGGAGCTGGAGGTTAAGGGAGTCAAGTTCTCTGATTCGAAGGACGCTGCACCATCTGAACCAAAGGCCAAGAAGAGAAAGACGGCCACCAAATCTGCAGAGGAAGAAGAGAAGGAGTTGAAGATGATCATGATGACCAACAAGCAGAAGAAGCTCTACAAGAAGATGCAGTACTCCAATGAGCAAAAGGAGAACAGACAAGAGCAACTGAGACAAAAGAGAAGAAAGATTGAAAAGACCAAGGAGAAGTTGGGTAAGTTAAACGCAAAGAAATGAGTTTTGCCATTCATTAATACACGTTGGATTTTTGTTTCTGTACCATTATATATCTTTATCTATACAAAATGTAGAAATGAGACTAGTCCAATTTGACCTCGTCTTCCTTCTTTGTAGGCTCCAAGGGCACATCCTCTGAGAATGCGGCAATGAGATAACCGACGAGGACGAGGTTAGCAGCCAAAGCAGCCAATCCACCTGATAAAAGAGCATTGTGATCAAACAAGTACTGTGTGGTGAAGAATGTGATCAATGGGAAGAACACCATCGCCACAGTGAAAAAGAGCAGTTTACGTACAACTGAGCTGTTTGTTCATCGTGATTATTTGTTAGTCCTTTAGCCGTAGAGAATGGCCAATGGTTGCAAGCGATGGCCATTGGTTCAAGTGATTAAGTTTTTGAAACTTACAAAGGGATATCGACGACCATTTGTCCTTGTCTTTTGTCCTTGTCTTTTGTCCTTAACGGTTGTGTTGGGTTAGTCTTTGGCTTTTCTTTACAGAGAGATTTGCGGGCGTTTTTTCTCTGTGTGTCTTTTCTCTGTGTGTCTTTTCTCTGTGTGTCTTTTTTGTTGTTCGAATGTTGTCTTTAAAGTTTTGTGGTGATCAGAGGTGAACACCACGATCAAGACAAACGCACGGACAAAGATAGGGGACAAAGACACAGATTCTGGACAGAGAACAACAACAAAAAAAGACAAATCGAGAAAGTTTATAACGAAGACACGGGACAGAGCCAAAGGACAAGGGATAAAAAGACAAACACAAAGTATAATATCACATCACATCAACATTCAAAATGGTACAACAGCTCAGTCTCTTCGCAAAAGTTGAAGCAAACCAACATCCACTGTTGACAAAGGTGCTATCGACATTGACAGGGTTACCACCTCACAAGCTGGAATACCTCTCGCTATTAATGGTGCCTAAGAACATCGTCAAGTATGAACCGAATTCCAAAAACGCACAGTTTGAACAACACAGGCTCAAGTTAAACACTTCGTTCGACCCTTCCAAGCAGAAATCTGACTACAAGGAGTGGATTCTCCAGGCTACAGACATTCCAAGTGCTGGTAAGAGGAAGACTCTCACACAGAATCTGGTTGAGAGTTGTATAGTTCTGAACGAATCGCAGAATATCGAATCCATGTTTGACAAGTTAGGCTATGCTGTTGAGAAGGAGTTCGTCGTTAGAGGCCAAAGATGGTGCTATGGAAATGTTGTAATCAAAGTGTTTCAGGTACTTGTCGGCGAGGAGCGAACACCCCTGGATTCTTCTTATGTGGTGAAGTGCTTTGTTAACGTGGATAAGACCACCGATGTTGAGCTTCTACAGAGATCTACACAGGAATTGTTATCGTTAAAGAATGAACTAACAGGGTTAATAGAGCTAGAGATACCGGATAGAAACAGTATGGATTCAAGAATCGGTATCAGAAAATGACCAATTGAGCTCTCATAATCAAAATACTGATCCTAGTGCTAATTACGATGTGGCATCCGAGACCAATTGTCCCTTCACCAGCTCGAATTTCCGAAATATATACATACAAGCTCAATAAAAAGGCACAACAAATGAGTACACAGGCGTACACACCATAACATAACCATTAATAGTATATCATTTTCGAATTCTTCAACCCATTGGTTAGTTTCACATACTGAACTGGCCATTGGACTCTATATAACACCCGGACACCAATAAACCCCTACACCCATAAACCCACACACCAACCTGCGATGACTTCATTCAACGAAACTTCACCGTCTTCCATTGAGACACATTTGAATCACAGGCACCTTCTAACAGCCTTGAGCCCCCTGTACTAGCGCAAAAACTGCTAGCTAAGATGAATATCCCCGATGATATCACCATACCACCGCATTCCATTAAGAACATCATCCACAAGACGGTACAATACATCAGAAGAAATGGGCCAGAGTTCGAACAGAAAGTTCGAGAGTCCAACAGCAAATTCACATTCCTGAAAGACACTGACCCCTATAACAGCTACTACAAGTTCTCCTTAGAGAATCTGCCGAATGAGGATGAGGCTGACCAACTGGAACAGAAGTTGGAAAAGGTGGAACCGGTTGATGAGCTGGAGTTCTTCATGAGGGACTTCCCAACGATATCAGTCAAAGATCTAGAGATTGTTCAACTGACAGCTCAGTATGTTGCCCAGCATGGAGAGACAAATGGGATCCTGGCAATCAAACAGAGATATCTGAATGAGCCTTTGCTGTTTGCCTTTACGCTCCCTAATCACAAATGGTACCCACTTTTTGCGTCCTTGGTTAAACAGTACAAGTTAGTTATTGAGAGGAAGTACAGAGTACTCTCAGTTCATGATATGTTGGAGAGATGCAAGCAGAGAGCACTCTACGAGGAGTCTCAAAGAACTAAAGAAGATTCCAAGAAGAGATTGGAAGAGGCCAAGAGGCTCAAATTTGCCAGTGTTGATTGGAATGACTTTATTGTCGTTGAAACGATCACATTTGATGAAGTGGACCTTGTTGCGGAACTGGCCTTGCCAGTCACGATTGAAGAACTACAGCTAAGATCATTAGATACGAAGAGTAAAGAGCTGACGATGGTAACCCCATCGAACATTCCAAGCGGTCCTCCAGGCATGAAGATACGAGAGTCTGGAACCACTAGAATCAAACAACAGAGATCGACGCAACACAACACAGGTGGAAAGCTAATCCAATGCCCAATCTCCGGTAAGATGATCCCAGAGAAGGACTTTGAAAGACACATCCAAATCTTACTGAGAGACCCAAAGTATTCTGAGGAGAGGAAGCGGTACGAGGAGAAAATCAAGAATAACAGTTCAAACCTGAGCGTGGAAGAAGTTGCGCTGAACATCAAGAATCTCTTCCAATCACAAGAAGCTGACGACTCCAACAAGAGACAAAAGGTGCTGTGGGATGGTTATCAAGCCAGTAAAGATTATGTTAGGCAACAGAACAGAGCCACAAGAGATGAGGTTGAAGAGTACAAGAGGAAACAACGCGAGCCTGAGATTGGGCCAAAGAGAAGATAAAGCATCAGACAGTGTGCATTGGCATTGGCATTGTGTTTTCCTTTGCGTCTCACCAAAGAGGTGGTTTCTGGATACATCAGCTGCCTCGAATATGATGCTGAATTGCCAACACTGCGCGGACAATACATCAGCTTTATTATACAAAGGTATACTTTGGGGATGGCCATACTGTTCTAAGGTTGTTAGTTTATGTTTTGATGCTCAATGTGTCTATAAATGAGAGGATTCAACCTGATGGTCTTTATGAAGAGTGAAAGATTATTGATTCACGAGCTCTGTCTTATAGACTTCCTCGCAGTGCTTGTGTTTGATCAGTATGTCGATACCATGGTATATATCCCGGCCCAACTAATATGATAGAGACATTTCCCAGGGTGGAAGCCTCGGATTACACACTGCTCCATGCCATAACTGATATTACCATATTGTAGTACTACGATAATAATATTACATTATATTATATAATATAATTTCATAAAATTGCAAAAAAATTCCGGTACGGGGAATCGAACCCCGGGCTGGTCGGTGAGAGCGACCGATGTTAGCCACTACACCATGCCGGATTTTTCTTGTTGTTGTGAGATTTCTTCCTCTGCACAATACCAATTATAATAATCTTCAGAACTCTCAGCTCTGAACGCTTCTTATTATACCTTGGCTTATTCTTTCCTGACTCCTATACCTAAGTCCTGGGTCTGAGGTTTATACTGAGCTTACGGTTTCCTTAAGGTAAACTTGGGCTTGTATTAATTGCTTAATCCTTTTCTAAACCTCCTCTTGAAAGAATCTTCTTCGCAGGATTCTCTCTTTATATATTATTTCTAATGTTTTCTCAGTCTCTCTTTGAATCTAGTCGACTGCTGTAATTCCTCGGCTCTTACTGGCTCTTTCTCTTCTGATTCAGCGTATGTTGTAACTCCTCGGCTCTTACTAGCTCTTTCTCTTCTGATTCGGCATATGTTGTAACTCCTCGGCTCTTCTTCTGGTTCGGCTATGCTTGCTGACATAATCCGATCCATAATCCGATTCTGATACCTCACAGTTGTGTTGTGACGGCCGCTTCACCATACAGCCAGGATGATCGCACTATGTGGAGGCGGTGTTATATAAGTCCGCTGCCGGTGAGCTTCACGTTTTACAATACTCGGTGCAATTCCTCCAAAAGAGTGGAATAAACGGTCTCAAGCACATCCTCATGATGAAGCAATCGTCTGGTTAACACTGTATTACGCTCAAGATCCGCATCAGAAGCCCATAGGCCAGCAACGAAGTAACCCGTTGAGATCTGCATGTTGGCACATGGCTGTGTTTCTCGTATGTCCGCTCTCAACGGAAAGAGGCTAAGCTTCTTTCATCGAGGCGCACGTATTGAGATGCTCTGCTGTTGTGGCTTTGTTCAATTACCTTTAACAAGGGCCAATCGGGGCTTTTCTCATAGTTTGCCAGTTTCGTAGCATCAGAGCAGCTTCACACCAACCACAGCTGTAAGGATGTGCCTGTGGTGTCAAGTACATACCAGATTCCTCACACTGGTGCTATTCCTTGGAGCGACAAACGCAGCAGTGTATCACCAGTGCATGCCGTTTACAAGAGTGACACAGGAGTCAACGTTTTGGTTAACCAGTGGGAGAAACACTTCGGTCTTGATCTACAACGAGTTATTAACGCTTAACACCAACATACCCTACCGCATCACAGATACGCCGATCCATTACTACTCGGAGAACCATGATTTCACTGTATGTGGCCTTGTTCAGTTCCTGGGCCATTATTGTGATGACTTTGGTGCCTATACTGTTCGTTCCACCAAAACTGGGACTTATTTGAACACAACAAAGGTGGACTACGGGTGGTTCGACGTCCTAGAACCGCAATACTACCACCAGATAGTCGCCAATGAATTCATATGGTTCGACAACGGAACCAAGATCTCGTGGAGAATCCCGTACGAGGGAAACTGGTGCATCTCTATTTACCAAGATGGAACTCATCTGTATTGGTACGAGACTGGTTGGACTCAGTCTTGGGGGTTGCTTTCAGTGTATGAATGGAACTTGTTTCAAACCTTAACCCTATGCTGTCTTGTGGAACTGTTCTTCCTCGCACGGTTTGCGTTGCGTGGTGAAGACGTCAATGCGAAGTTAGCACTCTCCACCCTCGTGTACCACGCCCTGCACTCGTTTCAATTGAAGACAACGAATGAATCGCAGTACAACTCAGGCCTTGTCGTCATTCTGGTGAAATGGCTCATTTCACTTGTTGAAATTTATTGCATCTCCATACTCTTCGTTTCAATCTTGAAGCTGAAATTCACGAAGAAACAGCTTAAGCTTTTGGAAGTTTCATTGCTTGTGCGATCCTTATTGGCAGTGAGCACTTCTTCTGCTCTGTTGCACTACATGTGCACCATGGCACTGGTCTCTGTCGTCATCTTGTCTTCACTATTATCACAACCAGCAAAAAGGGCGAATTCTAAACACTATTACTATGCAAAAAGGAGTTTCACAACCGTCGTGGTTGTTGTCATGCTGGCAAAGTGCATCACTATGTTTGTTGGTATCGTATTTGCGTATACCATCACACCAATGAAGCACGAACAAGGGTCTTTTTGGGTTAAAGCCAGCATCATTGCAGACGAGGTAACAACTCGCTATTGGGAACAGGTTGGTTGGGTCCTACACATGTTCAACTTGGAGGTTATCCTTTGGCCATTGGTATTACTATTTTTGGCCATTGTGTAACTGTCTGGTGGGCTATGGAAGCACCATGGTCTAAAACTCGAAGATCCTCCTTCTTACACTTAACGAAAACAAAAATAAACACTTCACCAACCACTCGACAATATACCCCAAGGTGCAGTTGTCATCGGCGTCTTCTAACCGTAACGTCACTCTGCGTAGTGTGTGCAACTGGCTCAAAATACCTTGCACGCAAGCGACACAACCTGTTGCCGGAGTGAAATGTTAAGAGATGGGGAGCAAACCTAAGGATGATGCTCAATGAGGAAGGTGGGATGCATCAACTGTGCATCGCTGTGCACAAGGGTCTAAATGAAAAGTCTAAGAATAGCAAGACTAACCCACAAAACAAAGCACAGAGTTGGACCTCGTACGTATGATGATGGTTATTGATGTGCACTTCCACCGTTTCAAAGGGCTGGTTGGTCAATGCCACCCTTTTTTTGGCCCAAAGTTTATGCCGTCAGAGCTTCGTGCACCTCTCGAGAAATAACTATATAAGAGGACCTCAAATCCCTCTCTGAAGTCCAATCTTCTGTTGTTTTATCATCATCACTACAAACAAGTTCACCTTATAAACATTAACACAATGCAATTCTCCGCTGTTATCGCTTCCCTTGCTGCCATTGCCTCTGCTGCTCAAATCCAATTGACTGCTAACGTCAAGTTGACCGACTACACTGGCTTGTCCTCCATCCACGAGGGTGCTGCTATCAACTACTTCCAAGTTGGAGGTCAATCCGAGACTTTGGAGTTTGATGAGGAGGCTGCCACCATCACCACTGATGCCACTGGTGTCCCACAGACCTTGTCTCTCGTCACTTCCAAGGATGGCTTCCCATTCTTGCAGTTGGCTCCTCAAGAGCAAAACGTCTACTGGTCTGTTGTTGACGGTAAGCTTGTTGGTTACGATGCTGACTGTCAAGAGGTTACTTTCTACGCTGCTAAGAACGTCAACGACCCATATCAATACTCCAAGGACACCTTTTTCATTGGTGGTACCATTGGTGATAAGATTGACGCTTACTCTGTCAGACAAGCTGAGTCTTTGCAACCAGTTGAGATTGATGTCAAGTACGTTTAAGTCAACTGTTTTCATCATCTACTTTTCTAGTTCTTTTGAACTTTTTCACAAATTTCTCTTATCCTTATTTGATTTCATAAATGGCCATTTGATATGAACCCTCACCATGTAGCTCTATAAAGCAAGATTGTATTACAAAGTATGGCCTACATCTTCATCTGCATATGTCAAATAGAGGCTTGAATATGGGACATATGAACAACTGCCTATGGAGACTTGGAGCTTGAAATAACTGGGCAGGGGACTGTTCACACAGCTCTACAAGTGGCAACTCCGTGTGAAGTGTCAAAATTTATGCGGTGGTGCATCTATGCGAATGTTTGTTTAACTGTAGATCATTGCTCGAAGGATACTCTCTACGTGTCTCGAGGAAAGGTGCATCGAGTACTTCGACAAAACAGCTCCTTTAAAGACAAATTTGTAAACCTCGTGTCACCAAGAGATAGATTATATCGTTGATATAGGCACTGCTTAGCTATTAGTCCTAATTAACAACTGCAGGAGGGCCTCTAGAGTTCTCACACAATTCCGTTAGCTACTCATAATAGGAGTTGTTTTGATGCCGTGTAACATAGATGCATATCGTTTTAAATCACCAAAATTCTCTCAGCTCAAAACAGTAAGGCGAAAACAACCTCCAACAGTTTCCGGGTGAGTCAATTGTGAATTATGTGTGACTTAACGGTTCCAAACAGGGTATTTAGAAGGATATTTTGATCAGCTCTTAAGGCAACTTCGAGTCTGTAGGATTGCACCTATGTTAACCGAATTGTGGACCAATGATCTGCAGTCAAAAGTGATAGTTGCTAAATTTGGAGTTTTAAACCGTGCTGAGAGTCTATAATCGGTACTTTTACAAACTATTGATACATCTTGAAAACAGTAAGGTTGTAATCTATCTTGAACCAAGAAATTTTGTGTATCACTTCAACATCATTTAGGCCAATTAGTGTAGTAGAAAACATATAACATGACAAAAGCTAAAACATGAAAAGCATTAGTTAAAAATTCTCTCTTTTGAATGGTTGGTGTTCCTTCCCAAAGAGCTGTGAACTATGCGGTTTGATAAATCACTCGTTCTCAGGCTCCTAAACGAGTATTTTGGGTTTGATTTCTACGGCCGACACGGATATCATCACAGAACACGATAAATATCCATAAATAACAACACATTATCATCTCATGAGATGTAACTCAATGACATTTTGGAGTATATTAACAGCTTTAGTATAAAACACCACGAATTATTACAGTTACATTCATTCATTTTGCTTAAAACTCAACCATTCCAGTCATGAAGTTCACTGAAATTATTTTCTCAGTTGCTTCTATGGTTTCTGCAGCGTAGCATGTCCAACTCTTCACCAATATCAATGGAAAAGATGTCGGTTTGGCATCTATCCATGAAGGTGCTGGTATCACTTACTTCTTTGGTGGTCGTAATGCCCAAACTTTGACATACAACTCGGAGGAAGCCTCAACCACTACAGAGAACACAGGTATTCCTCAGTACTCGACTTTGTTGAATAATACTGATGATTTCCCATACTTTCTATTAGTACCAGGTACAAAGGACGACAGTTCAGATGATTCCGTCATCTACTGGTTTGTTGAGGACAACAAACTGTTTGGCTATGATGATAACTGTAACTTGATTAAGTTCTATGCTGCCATGGAGACATCTTATCCGTACTGATATTCCACTAAGAATTTCACCATCAGTGGTGTTTTGGGTGAACCAATTGAAGCTTATTCTGTTGATATTGTCAAGAACCTTCAGCAGCTTGAGACAGATGTCAAATTTATGTGATTAGAATGATAGCTTTCCTTTCCTCCCTCAATTCATTCAAGTTTTATCGTCAATATTAGGGCTCTTGATTGATGACAACTTTTCTCTCTTCCTCTAATGTGAGCATGTGTCACAACTTAACTGTAGCACTGGTATCTTAGATGTGTACTCTACGGATAATCTTGTAATTGGGCATGAGCCAAGGAAACAAGTCCACAGTTTCTCCGGTGCTCATATTCTTGGTGCTATATTAAAATCTTCCCACGCCATTTTCTATAAATAAAGATGTGCAGTGAAGGCTTTAAGAAAACATGCATCTTAACTCAGTACTCCAGTATGATCTAATATGACGTCAAATTCCAACGGTATAGATAGGCAACAATATAGTTCAGAGAACAATACTCGACAACTTTTCTCGGCCTCCTAAAAGCTCATTTATACCATTCAATAGTTAAGACCTGTATAGCTCAGGCGTATTTTCATGACTTGCAGAAAAGTGAACATTAATCTTAGCTTACTAGTTCACTATAGTCAAAGTGTATACAGTCTACTCAAAGCTACAATAACATTCACACGTGTCTACATGACCTCAACCGCTAAGCAACCCATCACGAAAGGGTTACACACCTTTATGCTGTTCATAATACGCTTTTGGATGAGGTACTTTGAGTCACGTTTTCAGCATGCTTGATGACCTCTTCTCTGTCTTCACGATGATGTGACACGTACTTTCCCCTTCTTTGCCGAAGAGCCAAAGATTATCGCACCCATCAATCTCCAGTCAGCTGCATATTTAGCAATTATAACCCGAGATGAAAGACCCTTGAACGGTTATAATAGGGGCCCCTGGTGTGCATAATACGTCATCATTACATAAACAAGGTGTTCCTCCTCATCATAGACATGGTTTGGAATAGCAAGGGCAAAAATGATGTTTCCATGTATGAAGGCATCATATTACATCATCTCAAAGCCCAATGTTGCAGAATTTTACATCAACGGTTTCTGTGAGTATAATACATTCATGCAAACAAAAATAGCCTATGAAATTACTCTCTGTAATAGGGGATACTGTTTTCACCTAATTTTACATATCCTGGACTTTGCTTTCTTGTGTAATATCTGATGTGTATTGAATGTAAAAAATATATAAAGGGTCCAGAGTCCCTCTGGAGTAACAGCTGAGAAGTCGTTTCAAATCAATAACACATAAAAACATTCAAACACATCTACACAATGCAATTCGGTATTTTCCTCCTAGCTTCTATCGCCTCAGCTGTTAAGATTCAACTCTCTGTTGATCATCCGTTAAAGGAATCTGAATTTACCGGCATATCTTCTGATTCAGGTAAAGGTGGCTTGAACTACTTGTTCCTTCGTGAACAATCACAAACCCTCGACTACAACCCAGAAACCAAGCAGATCACCACAGATGAATACGGTTCAACTTATACCCTACAAGGGGTGGTCAACACAAACAGTTTCCCATTCCTGGCTTTGTATCCAGGTGATGCATCCTCTGCCAATGAAGATGCAACCATCAACTGGGATATCGAAGACGGTGTTCTTATTGCTCATAAACCTAACGGTAATGAAGTTCAACTGTACGCTGCAAAAGATGTTGGTGATCCATACGGCTTGTCGAAAGATAGTTACATCTTTGGTGCCACTGAAGCCGATAAGCTGAGCGAATTTGCTGCCGTGAGAGGCTCTCACAACCTTCAAGTTGTCAAGATCAACGTCAAGACATTTGAGGAGCCAGCAAAGGACGTGTACGTCACCAAGTGGTGTTCTGCTTGAATGAAGGGAGTTTTTTAACCTCTCAGAATCTTTATACCTTTCTATTTACGAGATCATTGTTGCATTCTTTCTTTACGATTTTCCATTATCATTCCCTTAATAACAGTTTTTAATCAAATGGCCCATAATTTCATTATATTGAAAATGTAGGGCACATGGTATTGACCCTCTAACTTCTCTGGCTGTATACATTTGCGACTCATCATTGGGTACACGTTTATGGGCGCACAGTGTAGTTCAGTATTACTTGCCTATTCCTCCATTTTCCTGCCATATAATTCATTGTAGAGGTTTTACGAAAGAGTATACCATCTGTGAGTAGTGACACTCCTTTGTATTTAACCTTACCTTTATATGTGAAATGAAACTCCTGCAACAATAAGCGGATTGAGCGTCTTCGCTGTGTTTTGTCCAATACTGAAGCGCAAGGCGGAACCAATGCCAATAGATCTGGCCAATCAGGTTTGAGTATTCATATGTCGAGTCTATGATGTATACAGAGGTATATTAAACACATTGTTAACCACTAAAGTGTACATCGTCACACTGCCACATGTGTACATATAACACTGCAATACCAGTTTGAGATTATCGATATGCAAGCTCTAAAAAAAGACCCATTTCACGCATATTCAACGCTTCGCCTCCCTCCCACGTCCAAAACTTGATATACCACCACTTTGATGAGACTCAGCTCATAGCCTGGCATATTTGTATAAATTCGGAGACTGTGTAACGTAAATTTAGTTTAGTAGGAAACCCCAAGACTTCTGAATAATCATGTTGATCCAATTGCAAGAACTCCCAAAATGAATCTCCTCCTTCTACGGTTCACACTGCTTTCTCTCGTAACTGCGCAGACTCCAATTCAATTGATAGCAAAAATACCTGGTGAACAACAGGAACACCCACTGAGAGCCTCGTATGATGAATTTGGTCTAAAGAGCTATGTGTACTTCTCAGATACCCCAGAGACGTTCTGGTATTACAGACGAACCCGTGAGCTAGCTGGATATGATACAGGTTTACCAACAAAACTTGATATCTCCAGTATTACAACTGATAGTCGGATTCCACATTTAGAAATGGTCTTGAGAGTACATTCATCTCTTGAATGTATCATAAACGAGGGTAAGCTCTCTTGCAAGTGCCGGTTTACTGATGAACACCTCAACTTCTACGCCATTAAAAATAACAATAGTCAAAGTCTTCCGAGTTATACGGTTGGAGTGTCTAATTCACAGGAGTACAAGGCATATAAGGGATTTCAACCCATCGATATCATGGTACAGTTCACTACATAAGCATTGTAGAATTAATCCATGTATTATGTGCTCTCATTTGCTCTTCTCATTAAAGCCTTGGCTCCCTTAGAAACCGTAGGACAGTAATGCTTTTCCAGTAGTAGGGTTTCCCAAATGGTGGCAGCTTCTGCATTACTTCTTGCAGGGACGTTGGCCTCCATGATGTATTTACCGTTATTGATTCTATCGTCTGTAGAATATGCACCACATAGTTCTGAGTACCGACTCATGAGCTTCTCCAAGAACTTCATTATTGCGATGGATGACTTCTCTGGGGTTTGTAATAGAGCCATTGATAGTCTTTTGTTAAAGGCTAATGCACGGGTCTTTGAGCCATTTTTAGATCTGAAGAAGATGTTTTCCAGACCTCTCAATAAAAGCTCAATTCTAGTGGAGATGTTAACGTTTGGTCTTCTGTTCTCAAGCCCTAGAGGATCTGCTAGTCTTAAAGTCTTGTGAGAGAATTCCACATCAACATCCAAAGCGAGGTCTAGTAGAATAGAGTATAGCGAATCAACAAAGAAAGATAGGTCAACGTTAACTTTGTACTGTTGATGGCTAGCAACCAAGGCAAATGCTGTGGCAACACTCAGTAGAACCTCACGAGTTTGATGATCCTCCGAATCCTTGATGATTTCACGGAATACCTCAAGAAAGTCACCCAAGAGGTCGAAATTTGCCATATGACCAATTTTTGCCAATCCTTCCAACACTGAAGCCATCAAGCTATCAGGCCTTTCTCTAAGAATATCCAGGTACAACTTCAAGAGCATCTTCAATATTTCTGCTTGGAACCTTTCTCTCTCCTCTTCCGAGACTTTCTGTTCAGCTTTACGCATCTCTTCTTCAATTGCTTTACGTTCCTTTCTGGCCTTTCTCTCCTTCTTCGAGAGGTGAACACGGTCTTTCTTCTTAATTTTCAATCTTTCTTCTTTCTCCTCTTCTGTAGCATTTGGATCATAGTCGGAAAGAATCTGTAGTGATAAGAACACATTTAGTGCACTTTCATCAACTCTGAACTTTCTTGACCTCAGAGTCTTTGTCAACAATCTAACTATGTCAAAGGAAACATCACCAACATCGTCTTCATTCAGCATAACTTCCAACGTCTTCAAACATTGGATATAGACCGGGTCATTCTTCGCAGATGGTTTACAGATACGTCTTATGACAATAATCAAAACATCTGGTCTATAGTTGAAATGCTTAAAGCTTGAGGATAGTTCGCAGGCGGCCTTCACAGCAATGACACCCATTTGTGGGTCCTTGGAGCTGTTCTTAGCGAACTCTGTCAAGACGTTGATATAAGCCCTATAGTTCAAAACCAAAGTCTGCTCAAAATTACGCAGTTTGGCAACATCTTTGGAAACTTTCTCCCTTTTTTCAGCCTCCGTTAAGGGTCTGATTCTATAAGCCGGGATGATACTCTTCAGAGCTGGAACTATAGCCAAAAGTGAAAACCTTGAAGTGTTTAGATTCTTGGATTGTGACATCTTTATCAGTCTTGTCAAGGCACCAATGTTTTCCTCTGGCTCTTCGGTCAATTTCTCAACCAACTCTGCAATTTCCTCTTTGAGGGCAATGATCTTCTCCTCGGTATCCAGTTCTTCCTCTTCCTCCTCCTCCTCTTCTTCCTCGACTCCTTCTGCTGTGAGCTGTTGTTCCTGTTGCTCTTGCTGCTCTTCTTTCTCCTCTTCTTCTTCATCGTCATCCTCTTCATCAGACGATTCCTCTACAACAGCTTCAATACGTGATCCTTTCTTGATAGGCAAAGCACCAACCTTCGCCTTCTCCTGTTTCAAGCTACGAGGTCTCAACTCATAATCCATCTCCTCGTCATCAGAGTTCACTCTTCCATCTTCTTCCGAGTCTTCGCCGTATGGATCCAGTTCATTTGCCCTGTTGGCCAATCCAATGCTTAGCTGTGCGTCCTGCTGCTGCTTCTTCAGCTTTCTCTGGTCTTCGGCAAACTTGCTGGCCCTCTTCTTACCCATTCCGTCTACTTCCACTGCTTGTAAAGATGAGCCATAGATGGTGAGAAAAGAGAAGCTCATCGCATAAATTTTTCACTATGCTCGAGAATAAGCTTTGTACGGGGACACACAATCGGTCACGTGAACAAATAACTATAAACCCGTGATATGGTTGGTGCAGCATTTCTGCTTTGGGACATTTTCTGCTGTTTTTTTTCCTGTGCTTTTTTTGTAATTTTTCTAGCTTCTCTCCGTTGTTCTCAGCATTTGTTTATTTATCTATTCCTTTGCTACTATTTTCATAATTCATTGAAATACTCCTTGCTCTGTTGGCTTCTACTGCTATTATCGCTTGCTCAACCTGAATAATCCACTAGAGAGAGGAAAGAAACAACAATGACCACAGTCGTCGATAGCAAAGGTGAGTTCCACGTCCCCCTTACGTCTCTCAGAGAAGCGTGAAGTTATCTGTACTAACAACGTCGGCAGTAGCTGATAAGAACGTAGTGAGTCAAGCTTCTACGCCTGAGCCCGGCGCTACATCGCAAGATACAAGGAATGAATCACCAGAGAACAAGAAAGTACGAGATACACCTACAGTCGCTGGTGTCTCTCAGAATGCTAGCACTGCGTCTAAGCCTGCTCAAAAGCTCAAATCTGTCAACAAACCTGTGCAAAAGTTCAAGTTTGTTAACAATTCTGCAACCACGATGAAGAAGCCTAGACATAAGATGAAGGCATCTTTCAAAATTGAAAAATCACCGGTCATTAATCAGAGGAGCTCACAACTGAACCAGGATTCTTTGATCATCGAGCAGACATTTGATAAAGTCACCAGCAACTTCATCAATACAACTGACCAGAAGTATATCTTCCAAGTGAATATGAAGAGGCCACCAGGAAGACCAAGGAAAATCCAGTCGGAGCACCTTCAACAACCAAAGGTCAAGAGGCCCCAAGGAAGACCAAGGAAATACCCCCTTGTGATTGCACAGGGAGAAGCATCAAATAAGGGCAAGACCATCCCACGCGGTGATGTTAAAAGCAATAATGATAAAGACGGTGATAAGAACAGCCACAGCAACATTAGTAATGATGACAATGACGATATAAACTCGGATGCATCTTCTTCATATGCAATTGATACTGATCTACTACCGAGTACATCTACAAAGGCTAAGCTTAGTAAGGAACCAGAGAACACAACGGACGCAATCACTGTGGCAGAAAACCTCACAGCACACCTTACAGAGAACCTTACAGAGGGGCCGTCGAGCACAGATCATCCAAAATCGGTAAAAAGAGGTAGAGGAAGACCCAGAAAAAACACACAGCTGGATGATCCAGCATCATTCGCCGCTGCCGTCGTGATGAACATGTCTGAAACGGATAAATAGAAACTGACGATACCACTGCCATTTAACTGGATACTGTGTAGCATCACTTAGCGATACACCATCATAACAATCGTCATAATAATTATATAATAGTTATATAATCCAATGACACAAATAGCCGGCTGGTGTCCGGATGTCGGTGTCCCCACGCGAAAAAAAAAACTTCGTTCATGTTACTATGTGGGGGTCTAACCTCGCTCTTCTGCCAACCGAGAGAGCCTAAAGCCTGTGTATACGAAAAAAAGTTACCACTTTGTTTACTTCTCATCTCTTCAGGCTGTGTGAATCAATTGGCTGACCAATTTCCACGTTTAACAGACAACACCATGCTATCATCTTCAAGATCACTGGTTCAGATGAGAAGAGTTTCTCTCTCGAGAGGTGAGTTCATATGGTATTTTCCATCTCTTTGGTACCAGTAGTAATGGCTGAGAACAAGGGGCTCAGAGAGATGATATAACAGGACTGGTACTAACTTGACTAGCGTTCCGCATCTCTGCCTCCCAGCTTAAGGCACAGGTGTTTAAGATGCCTGCGATGTCGCCAACCATGGATAAAGGTGGTGTTACTGAGTGGAAGTTCAAGGAGGGTGAGAGCTTCAGCAGCGGTGATGTCCTATTGGAGGTTGAAACGGACAAGGCACAGATCGATGTTGAAGCACAAGATGACGGTATCTTGGCGAAGATTCTCGTTCAGAACGGTGGGAAGGATATCCCAGTGGGTCAGCCTATCGCTATATTAGCAGAAGAAGGTGACGATTTGGCAAACTTGGAGATTCCTGATGTGTCTGCACCTGCTGCTGCTGCTGCTGCTGCTCCAAAGACTGAGACGCCAAAGGCTCAGACTCCAAAGGCTGAAACGCCAAAACCATCAACACCTGCTCCCTCAGGTACTTCAACCGTTGCCAATCCAAAGCAAGTTCTCTTCCCATCTGTGGCCACGTTATTGGCTGAGAATAACATCTCTAGAGACGATGCAATTGCAAAGATCAAAGCTACGGGTCCTAATGGACGTTTGTTGAAAGGTGACGTTTTGGCATACCTCGGAAAAATTCCAAAGGACGCTGCGGAATCAGTGGCATCTTTTGTCAATGTCCATTCCAAGTTGGACTTGTCCAACATTGAAAAGCATGTCGTTGCTCAAAAGGTTGAATCCGCCGCAACACCGGTAGAAAATGCCAAAGAGAGCAAAGAAGATGGTAAAGCCCAGAAAAAGCCAAAGGCTAAGGTTGAACCAATTGTCAAGACATTCCCATTGGAACATGTGCTGGCATTCCAGAAGAGAGCTGTGGAACAAGGCTCTCCATCCTTATCGCTTAAGGAATACATCAATGGCGCATCTTCACGTGCTGAGAGATACGCCTACCAAAGACACTCCAAGCCTTCGGACTATTACGACCCAATATTTGAGGATTTGGTTTCCCCATCCCCAACTGTGGAGAGATTCACAGTTAAATTGGACATTCCAAACGTTGCTAATGCCAAGTCTAAACCAGCCACAAGTCAGCTAGACTTTGCAGAGGATCTTTTCGCCACACCATCCAAGTCTTCGCCATCCACCTTTGGTGACCTAACCGTCACTCTGACTTTGAAGAACGTCTCGGACGCTAAGGACAAGGCCCAACTGTACTTGGACCAATTGGAGAAGTATCTCAGAGTCTAATGGACTGTCAGCCCTTGAGTATCCAGTATTATCGTGATTCTTTGTTTCGGTTATTTTTTGGCTTTGAATATATATACACAATCTGAGTTCGCAAAACACTCAGTGGACCAGCATGGGACAAACAAATACATCAAGATCAGAGATCTAAAGGAACTATGTTCAGTAGCATCGGTGTAGACGGTTGGTATCAAAGGCATGCGGTATTGTGATGTGGTGTCTAGATGTGGTGTCTGGATGTGGTGTCTGGATGTGAGGCATAGTTGTCCGAAACGCCACACTTGACCCTCAAAGGAATGCGCCACATCCGATGGCTGGAGCAAATGTGGCTGTTGAGATGATGTGTGGCACGTGATATATACCAATAATGGCATCTTTGGTTAACATCGAGCAGTTTAGCTCTCGGAGTCGTCGAAGTGCAAGAAATTTTCCAATTGTTCAATAAATAAACCAATTGCTGCTCTCCCTTTCAGTACTCACTACTTTCATCCTATCTTCATCGTTAGACAGACACTCAACATGCCAGCTCCACAACCTCACGGTGGTATCCTTCAAGACCTCATCTCAAGAGATGCCCATAAACAAGCTGAGCTTCTGAAAGAGGCCTCCACTCTTCAACGTCTTAGACTTAGCGACAGACAACTCTGTGATTTGGAGATGATCCTCAACGGTGGTTTCTCCCCATTGGATGGATTCCTCACGCAGAAGGACTACGACTCAGTGGTTGCAGACATCAGACTGGCCAACGGGTTGGTGTGGTCGATGCCTATCATCCTTGACGTCTCCACTCAACAGGCCTCCAAGTTCTCCGCTGGTGAGAGAATTGTCCTCGTTGACGATTACGACTATGAATTGGCCATCTTGACCATCAGCGACAAGTACACTCCAGACAAGCAGGTGGAAGCTGACAAGGTGTTTGGTGGTGATCCAGAGCACCCAGCTATCCAATACTTGTTCAACCAAACCGGTGACGTCTACCTCGGTGGTCCATTGGATGCCATTCGTCTTCCATCTCACTACGACTACACCGGGTTGCGTAAGACACCTCAGGAGTTGCGTAACGAGTTTGCAAAGCGTAACTGGGCCCGTGTTGTTGCATTCCAAACCAGAAACCCAATGCACAGAGCTCACAGAGAACTGACCGTCCGTGCTGCTAGAGACGTTGATGCCCACGTCCTTATCCACCCAGTTGTTGGGTTGACCAAGCCAGGTGACATTGACCACCACACAAGAGTCAGAGTTTACCAACAGATCATCAAGAAATACCCACCAGGTACAGCTGAGCTTTCTCTCCTGCCATTGGCCATGAGAATGGGTGGTCCAAGAGAAGCCGTGTGGCACGCACTCATCAGAAAGAACTACGGTGCTACCCACTTCATCGTTGGAAGAGACCATGCTGGTCCAGGATCCAACTCAAAGGGCGTGGACTTCTATGGTCCTTACGATGCTCAAGACATGGTTGCCCAATTCAAAGAGGAGTTAGGTATCACCATTGTTCCTTTCAGAATGGTGACCTACTTGCCAGATGAGGACCGTTATGCACCAATTGACACCATCACAAAGGACACCAAGACCTTGAACATCTCTGGTACTGAATTGAGAAAGAGACTAAGAGATGGTACTGAGATCCCAGCATGGTTCTCGTACCCAGAAGTCGTCGCTGTCTTGCGTGAGAGACACCCACCTAGACCAAAGCAAGGCTTTGCCATCTACGTCACACACAGAAGATTCGGTTACGCTCTGTTGGACATCTTCAACCAATTCGGTGGCCGTCACTTCACCATCCTGGATACCCAGGACCCAACCTCCTCTTCCAGATTCGCCCGTGAGCTCAATGCCTCTGGTGCAGGTGTCATCATCGTTGATGAGGCTGCTAGCTCCAAGGATGAGTACAAGAAGGAGGTCTCCAAGACCGGTACTTTCCTGAACGTTGGAGCTGAAGGCTCCGACGTTGTGGTTGATCTGTCTGCTGTTTCCAACATTGAGCAGGAAACCACAAAGGTGATCTTGTCATTGGAAGACCAAGGCTTCTTTAGATTCAACTGATGTCCCATGTCGATATTGTCTATGTCTATAAATGTGTAAAAATAGGTGAAAACCTCGCTATTTATGTATAAAGAACTCGTTGTAAGGATCCACAGTGATAGTACACAGCATACAAGCAGACAGCACATGAGAATGCGCTCTATGGGGGCGAATTCACGTACAGTAGCGTGTATATGACGGAAGTGTCGTGATGGAAAGTGCCGTGATGGAAAGTGCCATGAGGCAGATGGTGGTGTACGGGTGTATGGGTGTACGGGTGTTTTCTTCCCAGTTACCCTACCTTTTTGCTTTTTCATTTCCGACTCGTCGATTCTCAGAACCGGGGCTTTCCCCGAAGCTTTCGAAACTTCCACAACAACAACAACATCAACAACGTCATCATCAACGAGGCGTGTTCATCTGTGTGTTGTGCTGTGATTCAACGGCTTGTGGATAAAGAGGGTGAATATAACGACAGATAATGTCCAAGAGCCAGGATTACATTGCGCGGATCAGGTATCAGAATGACCTTCCACCACCTCTTTTACCACCAAAATTGTTGAAATATTCTGGACATGACGAGGAGCAGGTCGGTTCATCGAGCCAGCTGTCTTTGTTGATCCGCAAAGAAGGGGTGAATGGTCTAGTTTCACTGGATAACGACATTGGTTTACCATTAGATATCATCCAGGCACCGCTGTTGTTCGATGAGACGTCAAGACCGAAAACTTCGGATGATAAGGAGAAGCATTCGACGCTTCATCCACATGACCGTATCTTGCTCAGAGACCCACAGGTGGAGAAAGTAGCCAAGCATCAACCTCAGGTTTCCTTCTTGAGAAGAACCGAATATACAGGTGCCGTGATGATGGGCAACGGCTCCAGTAACGTTTCAAGATCTGTGACGCCCCACCTATCCCGTGAGGATGATTCTCCGGCAGCGCAATTGCGTGCTATTGAGACCACTTTTGAAAATGCGACAAAGACTTTGAACGACTTGACAAAGATTAGACATCCAACGAAGAAGAGCTTGAAGCCAAAGAAAGTTTGGAACCTGTTGCCTGATGTCTCTAGAATGGATCAAAAATTTTCAAGTGTCAAATTTGGTTCAAACAGTTTGTCCAAAGTTCGTGACTTGGACTATAAGACTGCACTGTTTAGACAGATGAGATTGGAGGACATCAATTGGATGTCCTTCTACACCACCGATGAAACAACTGGCTCTAGGGTTAAGAGAACGTTGGACGACTTGGAGGAAAACATTCCAAAGGAGAATACTCAAGACAGCGAGAGCTTCAAGTATACGAAAGTTGACGATTTCGACTTGCATGTATCCAGACTTGATGGTGAGATCCAAGAGATTGCGTTGAGGTTTGACGAAGCGAACGGGACCGTTTATTATAACCCAATTTCAAGAAAGGCGGATTTGAAAAGACGTAAGATCCAAGAATCCCACAGAGAATTACTCGAAGAAAGGGACGTTGACGTTATAAATCTAAAGATCAGGGAGCCAACCGTTGAGGAGTTCAACAAGAAGAACAACCTGAGACATGAGCACGACTCTGTGACGTACGAACGTGTTGAGTTGGATGACGAGGAGGATGATTTGGAAACGTTCAGCAAATCAAGGGAGTGAACTGCGTAATACATGTATAATAGCATTGACAATTGGAGATGCGTTTCAGCTTGTAGGTGATCAACTGCGTCGGTTAATACGCTATGACTGTGTGCCAGTGGAGCAGCGTTGATTTTGTCACATTAGATCTCATCTTACGGGCTAACTCCCTCACTCTATCACAACCTCAGCTATAACGACTTCTTCTTCCAGAAGTGGTTTCGTGGTCTAGTTGGTCATGGCATCTGCTTAACACGCAGAACGTCCCCAGTTCGATCCTGGGCGAAATCAACTTCTATCTTTTTTTTCACCCACATTGAGAATCACGTGACTTTGGCTCCCAATATCACGGCTTTGTCCACATGGTTTGCTTCTACTAGCATAGAAAACCCCACACGCATGTCCTGAAAACGTTCACGTCGCTACACACCACCATCTTCTCAATGAAAACCGCCATATAATGGGACGGTGTAGAGCCGTAACCCACCAGTGTCACGTAATACCCCTTCTTACATAAGCTCTTAGTAAGCAGCTTTCGCGAATCCGTCTTGAACACCCATAAAGGCGAGAAAAATTTTCGCGGATTTCTCATCCTTTTCGCACTTTTTACCCCTTTAAACCACAAGCTGTTCGAGAAACAAAACAAAGCGTGTGAACGTAGGTGTGAGATCAGTTTGCGATCGCGAAGTTTCAGTTCTATTTGCCCCAAGAGATTGAGTACTGGTGTGTGTGTGATTGATTGGAAACGATGGTGACCCCCGCAGGTAACAACGTATGCCGTCGTTGTAAGAAGAAGAGACCGGAGGATGAGCCGATGGAGACAGCACGGTACAGGACTTGTAAGCCATGCCGTGAGATTGAGCGTAAGCGCAAACGTCTCAAAAAGCTCAACATCTCAGGAATGGATGCTGAGGTTGCCGCTGCTGCTGCCGCTGCTGCTGAACAAGCCCGTAAGAACGCTGAATTGGAGCGTAACATCATCAACATTGCTGCTCAATCGCTTCCACCTGACCATGCGCAGCAGCTGGCGGCACAACACATGGCTCAGCAACTAGCTGCCCATCAACAGCAGGAACACCAGAACCAGCTGCATCACGGTCCGCCAGAGATCCACCAATACGATCAATCGAAGCTAAGCGATGAGCAGAGTCATGGGCCTATCCTGCTACCAACTGATGGCACTAGCGGCGTGGATGATCGGGAGATCCCAATTGATGAGAATCTGTTGAAACAAGGAACAGGTGAGGACAGCAAGGCGAGTCTAACAAAATCTTCTAATCTGTTGAAGCAAGATGGCGATGATGACTCAAATAACATCTTTGCCATCAGAGACGGCACCATCCACGGTGACGTTGATCTCGACGTTGGCAATCCCCAAGCGAGGACTACCTCAACGAATCATTCGTTAGCCGCTGTTGAGACCGTTGACTCGACAAAGTCTGCAGATCTAGCTGTCAGTTCGAGCATCAGCACTAGCTTGTCCAATGGTTCTTGTCTCTACTGTGGAGCCCCGCGCTCAGTGTATGACGATGGTCGTTATCAACTGTGTGGCAACTGTGTGTCTAACCCTTTAGAACGGAACAACGTATTCGATGATTTTGAGGCATACTTGGAGCGTATCGGCCTCGGCAAGGATATTGATTTGAAAAACGTCATCTATATCAAAAAGATTGACGATGAATCGATAATCCAGGATTTCACACAGGATAACTTGGATACCATTTTGTTGCAAATCCAGGTGCATTTTGTCGACCGTATACTACAAAGATCTGCGTACAAGTTTTCCAAGCTAAGCTCAAACCTGAGTGTTAAACCTTTCCCGAAATCAATCAAGCTGCTGTACAGATGCAAACAGGACCTGAAAACCACTCAGAAGAACGGCAACTCGTCGTCAGCGCCTGTATCAGACGACACGACCAGCGGTGGGACGAGGAAGATGAAGACGGAGGACTGTCACTCAAACTTCTACCTTTCGTACGATGTCATCGGAAAGAACATGAGTATCAAGTTCAACCACAACTGCCACAAGACCTTCCTGCAAAAGTGGTACTCTCCAAAGCTGATTGCAACTGTGAAGGAATTGCAAATCGTCTTCCAGGACATCAACCTTGTCTTTGAGAACTTGACCAACTTGAAGGACATCGACGAATCGTTAAAACAGGAGATTGCAAAACTGAAAAAGGTGAACTTTGTGAAGGACTTTGCCTTGACGAACTAGTACTATTATGGATATTGTTTTTGTTTGTTTGTTTATTTGTTTGTTTACTCTGTTT